CAGTTAATGAGGGGGGTCCCCATGGGGAAGGGGGAGGGGCACAGGGACCCCTCCTGGCACAATTTGGGGGTGTTCAGGTCAAGGGGGTCCCCAAGAGGATGGGGGCACAGGGACCCCCACACTTGGTGAATTTTGGGGAGGGGGTTCAAGTCAAGGGAGGGGGCACAGCATATTTTGGTGGGGATCGGGTCAGGCCAAGGGGGGTCCTAGGAGGGGGAGGGGTTGGGGTCCCCACTCACCTGCGGGGGCCCTGGGGACCCTCGGGACTCGGCCGGGCCCGTGGGGACAGAGGGTCACGTGATCCTTGGGGAGGGCGGTGATGTCAGTCAGGACCCCCCACCCCTAAATGTGACCCTTGACCCCAAAATGGGACCCCTCCCCAAATGGGACCTTTCACTTCCCGACCCCCCATCCCGAACCCCCCAAGACCCGACACTCCCAAACCCCACGGGGGTTCCTGGAGGGTCCCCATGTCCCAAACCCCACGGGGGTCCCGGGGGGGTCCCATCATGTCCCAAACCTCACGGGGGTCCTGGAGGGGGTCCCCCCATCTCCCCAACCCCACGGGGGTCTTGGGAGGGGTCCCCCCATCTCCCCACCCCACGGGGGGTGTTCCCACCATCCCCCCAAACCCCACGGGGGTCCTGGAGGGGGTCCCACCATGTCCCAGACCCCACGGGGGTCCCACCATGTCCCAAACCCCCTAGGGGGGTCCCACCATCTCCCCACCCCACGGGGGGTGTTCCCACCACCCCCCAACCCCACGGGGGTCCCGGGTGAGCTCTGACCTGTGCCGGGGGCGGGGCAGCCCTGCGGGGCAGTGGGTGCCCCACGCCCACCCCAGGGTGGTCCCGGGGTTCCCACCCTCTCCCAAACCCCACGGGGGTCCCAGGCGGGGGTCCCACCAGTGTCCCAAACCCCACGGGGGTTCCCACCACCCCCAAACCCCACGGGGGTTCCCACCTCTCCTCCAAGCCCACGGGGGGTCCCGGGTGGGCTCTGACCCGTGCCGGGGCGGGGCAGACCCGCGGGGGGCAGTGGGTGCCCCACGCCCAGCCCAGGGTGGTCCCGGGGTCTCCTCACCAATGTCCCAAATCCCACGGGGGTTCCCACCTCTCCCAAATCCCACGGGGGTTCCCGGGGGTCCATCAATGTCCCAACCCCCTGGGGGTGTTCCCCACCTCCCAAACCCCACGGGGGTCCCAGGAGAGGTCCCGGGGGGGTTCCCACCCTCTCCCAAACCCCACAGGGGGGGTCCCACCCTCTCCCAAACCCCATGGTGGGGGTCCCACCCTCTCCCAAACCCCCCACGGGTATTCCCACCCTCTCCCAAACCCCAGAGGGGTCCCAGGAGAGGTCCCGAGGGGGTTCCCACCATCCCCCCAAATCCCACGGGGGTCCCGGGCGGGGGGTCCCACCCTCTCCCAAACCCCACGGGGGGGGTTCCCACCACCCCCAAACCCCACGGGGGTCCCGGGGTTCCCACCTCTACCAAACCCCACGGGGGTCCCAGGGAGGTCCCGGGGGTTCCCACCATCCCCCAAATCCCACGGGGTCCTGGGCAGGGGTCCCACCATGTCCCAAACCCCACGGGGGGGTGTTCCCACCATCCCCAAACCCCACGGGGGTCCCAGGGGGGGTTCCCACCCTCTCCCAAACCCCACGGGGGTCCCGGGTGGGCTCTGACCCGTGCCGGGGGCGGGGCAGACCCGCGGGGGGGGGCAGTGGGTGCCCCACGCCCAGCCCAGGGTGGTCCCGGGGGGGCTCCCACCAATGTCCCAAACCCCACGGGGGGGGTTCCCACCCTCTTCCCAACCCCACGGGGGTCCCGGGGGGAGTCCCACTAATGTCCCAAACCCCCCCTTGGGGGTGTTCCCCCCACCTCCCAAACCCCACGAGGGTCCCGGGGGGGGTTCCCACCCTCTCCCAAACCCCAGGGTGGTGCCGGGGGCGTCCCACCAATGTCCCAAACCCCACGGGGGGTGTTCCCACCACCCCCAAACCCCACGGGGGGGGTTCCCACCCTCTCCCCAACCCCACGGGGGTCCCGGGTGGGCTCTGACCTGTGCCGGGGCGGGGCAGGCCCGCGGGGGCAGTGGGTGCCCCACGCCCACCCCAGGGTGGTCCCGAGGGGTCCCACCACTGTCCCAAACCCCACGGGGGGTTCCCACCCTCTCCCAAACCCCACGGGGGTTCCCACCACCCCCAAACCCCACGGGGGGGGTCCCACCATCTCCCAACCCCACGGGGGTCCTGGGTTCCCACCATCCCCCAAAACCCACGAGGGTCCCGGGGGTTCCCACCATCCCCCAAATCCCACGGGGGTCCCGGGGGGAGTCCCATCAGTGTCCCAACCCCCCCCTGGGGATGTTCCCACCCTCTCCCAAACCCCACGAGGGTCCCGGGGGGGGTCCCGGGGGGGGTTCCCACCATCCCCCAAACCCCACGGGGGTCCCGGGGGGGTTCCCATCGTGTCCCCACCCCACGGGGGGTTCCCACCCTCTCCCAAACCCCACGGGGGTCCCGGGGGGGGTTCCACCATCCCCAAAACCCACGGGGGTCCTGGGGATTCCCACCCTCTCCCCAAGCCCCACGGGGGTCCCGGGGGGGTTCCCATCGTGTCCCCACCCCACGGGGGGTTCCCACCCTCTCCCAAAGCCCACGGGGGTCCCGGGGGGGATTCCCACCACCCCCAAACCCCACGGGGGTCCCACCATCTCCCCACCCCACAGGGGGTTCCCACCCTCTCCCAAACCCCACGGGGGTCCCGGGTGGGCTCTGACCCGTGCCGGGGGCGGGGCAGACCCGCGGGGGCAGTGGGTGCCCCACGCCCAGCCCAGGGTGGTCCCGGGGTCCCACCCTCTCCCAACCCCACGGGGGTCCCGGGGGGGTGGGTCCCACCCTCTCCCAAACCCCAGGGTGGTCCCAGGAGGTCCCCCCATGTCCCAAACCCCACGGGGGTCCCGGGGCTCTTGACTCCGTGCCGGGGCGGGGCAGCCCCGCGGGGGGGGGCAGTGGGTGCCCCACGCCCACCCCAGGGTGCAGCAGCACTGCCGGTGGGTGACGTTGGGGGCCACGACCCCGCAGGCTCTGCTGAAACACGAGCCCAGCTCTGGGGTCCTGGGGCCCGGGGTCTCGGGGAGGGAGGCTGGGGGCCCGCAGCGCCCCGTGACGGGGTCGAACTCGTGGCTGCTGTCGCGACAGAGGCACAGGAAGGAACCCTCGACGTTCTCGCAGCGCTCGGAGCCGCAGACCCCGCGCAGGGTCTCGCACTCGTCCACGTCTGGGGGAATTTGGGATTGGGGGAATTTTGGGATTGGGGGAAATTGGATTTGGGGGAATTTCGGATTTGGGGGAATTTGGGGATTTGGGGGAATTTCGGGATTTGGGGGAATTCTGGGGTTTGGGGGAATTTTGGGATTTGGGGGAAATTTGGGATTGGGGGAATTTCGGATTGGGGAGGGAATTCTGGGGTTTGGGGGGAATTTTGGGATTTGGGGGGGAAATTTGGGATTTGGGGAGGGAATGCTGGGATTTGGGAGAATTTCGGGATTTGGGGGAATTCTGGGGTTTGGGGGGGAATTCTGGGGTTTGGGGGAATTTCTGGGATTTGGGGAGGGAATGCTGATTTTGGGGGAATTCTGGGGTTTGGGGGGGAATTTCGGATTTGGGGGGTATTCTGGGATTGGGGGAATTTCGGATCCAGGAGGAATTTCGGATTTAGGGGGAATTCTGGGATTTGGGGGGGAATTCCGGTGGCCGTGGGGCTGATCCTGGGATTTTAGGGCTGATCCTGGGATTTGGGGGTTGATCCCAGGATTTGGGGAGGGGGTCCATACCCAGGCAGTGGTGGCCGTGGGGGGCTGATCCTGGGATTTGGGGTTGATCCCGGGATTTGGGGTTGATCCCAGGATTTAGGGGGCTGATCCTGGGATTTGGGGTTGATCCTGGTAATTTCGGGGCTGATCCCAGGATTTGGGGGCTGATCCCGGGATTTTGGGGGTTGATCCCGGTATTTGGGGAGGGGGCCGTACCCAGGCAGTGGTGGCCGTGGGGGGCTGATCCCGGGATTTGGGGGCTGATCCCGGGATTTGGGGAGGGGGCCGTACCCAGGCAGTGGTGGCCGTGGGGGGCTGATCCCGGGATTTTGGGGGGTTAATCCCGGTAATTTGGGGGTAATCCCAGGATTTGGGGAGGGGTCCGTACCCAGGCAGTGGTGGCCGTGGGGGGCTGATCCCGGGATTTGGGGGGTCGATCCTGGGATTTTGGGGTAATCCCAGGATTTGGGGAGGGGTCTGTACCCAGGCAGTGGTGCCCGTGGGGGGGGGTCTCGTAGCCGGGGTCGCAGGCGCACTGGAAGGAGCCGGGCAGGTTGTGACACGCGGCGTGGGGGCCACACAGGGTCCCGTTGGAGCACTCATCGATGTCTGGGGGTTAAAGGGTCAGGGGGCACCCCTGGGGGCAGGGGGCCACACAGGGTCCTGTTGGAGCGCCTCATCGATGTCTGGGGGTTAAGGAGGTCAGGGGGCACCCCGGTCAGTGGGGGAGCACCCATGGGGGCTGGGAGGGGGCAGGGGGCACCCTCAGGGGGCGTGGGGGGGTCAGAGGGTCCCGTTGGAGCGCTCATCGATGTCTGGTGGGGGGTAAATTCCACCTGGCACTCCCAGTGTCCCCATTCCCAGTGTCCCCAATCCTGTTCCCAGTGTCCCCAGTGTCCCCAATCCCATCCCCAGTGTCCCCAGTGTCCCCAGTGCCATTCCCAGTGTCCCCAATCCTGTTCCCAGTGTCCCCAGTGTCCCCAGTGCCATCCTCAGTGTCCCCAGTGCCCTCACCGACAGAGTTCCCACTGGTTCCAGTCTGGAATCCCGCCTGGCACTCCCAGTGTCCCCAGTGTCCCCAGTGTCCTCAATCCCATTCCCAGTGTCCCCAGTGTCCCCAGTGCCCTCACCAACGCACTCCCCACTGGTCCCAGTGTGGAATCCCGGCTGGCACTGGGGCTGGCAGCGGAAGGAGCCGGGATGTTGTGGCACCGCTGGGTCCCTGTCCCCAATCCCAGTGTCCCCAGTGCCATCCTCAGTGTCCCCAATCCCATCCCCAGTGTCCCCAGTGTCCTCAATCCCATTCCCAGTGTCCCCAGTGTCCCCAGTGCCCTCACCAACACACTCCCCACTGGTCCCAGTGTGGAATCCCGGCTGGCACTGGGGCTGGCAGCGGAAGGAGCCGGGGATGTTGTGGCACCGCTGGGTCCCTGCCCCCAATCCCAGTGTCCCCAGTGTCCCCAATGCCATTCCCAGTGTCCCCAGTGTTCCCAGTGTCCCCAGTGCCATCCCCAGTGTCCCCAGTGCCACTCCCAGTGTTCCCAGTGCCCCCAGTGCCCTCACCAACGCACTCCCCACTGGTCCCAGTGTGGAATCCCGGCTGGCACTGGGGCTGGCAGCGGAAGGAGCCGGGGATGTTGTGGCACCGCTGGGTCCCTGTCCCCATTCCCAGTGTCCCCAGTGTCCCCAGTACCATCCCCAGTGCCATCCCCAGTGTCCCCAGTGTCCCCAATCCCATTCCCAGTGTCCCCAGTGCCCTCACCAACGCACTCCCCACTGGTCCCAGTGTGGAATCCCGGCTGGCACTGGGGCTGGCAGCGGAAGGAGCCGGGGATGTTGTGGCACCGCTGGGTCCCTGTCCCCAATCCCAGTGTCCCCAGTGCCATTCCCAGTGTCCCCAATCCCATCCCCAGTGTCCCCAGTGTCCCCAGTGCCCTCACCAACGCACTCCCCACTGGTCCCAGTGTGGAATCCCGGCTGGCACTGGGGCTGGCAGCGGAAGGAGCCGGGGATGTTGTGGCACCGCTGGGTCCCTGTCCCCAATCCCAGTGTCCCCAGTGTCCCCAATGCCATCCCAGTGTCCCCAGTGCCTCCAGTGTCCCCAGTGTCCCCAGTGTCCCCAGTGCCCTCACTAACGCACTCCCACTGGTCCCAGTGTGGAATCCCGGCTGGCACTGGGGCTGGCAGCGGAAGGAGCCGGGGATGTTGTGGCACCGCTGGGTCCCTGTCCCCAATCCCAGTGTTCCCAGTGTCCCCAGTGTCCCCAATCCCATCCCCAGTGTCCCCAGTGTCCCCAGTGCCCTCACCGACGCACTCCCCGTCATTCCCAGTGTGGAATCCCGGCTGGCACTGGGGCTGGCAGCGGAAGGAGCCGGGGATGTTGTGGCACCGCTGGGTCCCGCAGAGCCCGCTGGCCCCGTACTCCTGGCACTCGTCCACATCTGTGGGGTTTGGGGGGCACACTCAGACCCCTCAGTGCCACCCCCAGGGGGTTTTTTGGGGTCCCCGGGGTGGGTTTTGGGGTCCCCGGGGTGGGTTTTGGGGTCTCTCAGCCCCCCCCTCACCGTGGCAGCGCTCCTGGGAGGGGTCGGAGCGGAACCCGGCGGGGCAGCGGCACTCGAAGGAGCCCTCGGTGTTGAGGCAGCGCCCACCGGCACAGAGGGACCCACCCTGGCACTCATCGACATCTGGGGGGGATTTGTGGGGTCAGGAAGGGGTTTATGGGGTCAGCAGGGGTTTGTGGGGTCAGCAGGAGGGTTATGGGGTCAGCAGTGTTGAGGCAGCGCCCACCGAGCACAGAGGACCCACCCTGGCACTCATCGACATCTGGGGGATTTGTGGGGTCAGCAGGGGTTTGTAGGGTCAGGAAGGGGGTTTATGAGGTCAGCAGGGGGTTCTGGGGTCAGGAGGGGTTATGGGGTCAGGGGTGGTTGGGGGTCAGCGGTGTTGAGGCAGCGCCCACCGGAGCAGAGGGACCCACCCTGGCACTCATCGACATCTGGGGGCATTTGTAGAGTCAGCAGGGGGTTAGTGGGTCAGCAGGCGGTTTGTGGGGTCAGGAGGGTTATGGGGTCAGGGAGGGGTTGTGGGGTCAGGGGTGGTTGTGGGGTCAGCGGGTGTTGAGGCAGCGCCCGCCGGCACAGAGGGACCCACCCTGGCACTCATCGACATCTGGGGGATTTGTGGGTCAGCAGGGGAGTTTGTGGGGTCAGCAGGGGGTTATGGGGTCAGGGGGTGGTTATGGGGTCAACAGGGGGCTATGGGGTCAGCGGTGTTGAGGCAGCGCCCACCGGAGTAGAGGGACCCCTGGCACTCATCGACATCTGGGGGCATTTGTGGGGTCAGCAGGGGGTTTGTGGGGTCAGCAGGGTGGTTATGGGGTCAGGGGTGGTTATGGGGTCAGTGGTGCTGAGGCAGCCTCGCCGGAGTAGAGGGACCCAGCCTGGCACTCATCGACATCTGGGGGATTTGTGGGTCAGGAAGGGTTTATGGGGTCAGCAGGGGGTTATAGGGTCAGCAGGGGGTTATAGGGTCAGCAGGGGGTTGTGGGGTCAGCAGGGGGTTATGGGGTCAGGAGGGGGTTTGTGGGGTCAGGAAGGGGTTATGGAGTCAGCGGTGTTGAGGCAGCGCCCGCCGGCACAGAGGGACCCACCCTGGCATTCATCGACATCTGGGGGGATTTGTGGGGTCAGCAGGGGGTTTGTGGGGTCAGCAGGGGGTTATGGGGTCAGCAGGGGGTTGTGGGGTCAGCAGGGGGTTATGGGGTCAGCAGGGGGTTTGTGGGGTCAGCAGGGGGTTATGGGGTCAGTAGGGGGTTATGGGGTCAGCAGGGGGTTATGGGGTCAGCAGTGGGGGTTATGAGGGTCAGGAGGGGGGTTATGGGGTCAGCAGTGGGGTTATGGGGTCAGCAGTGGGGTTATGGGGTCAGCAGGAGGTTATGGGGTCAGGGGGTGGTTATGGGGTCAGCAGTGTTGAGGCAGTGCCCGCCAGCACAGAGGGACCCACCCTGGCACTCATCGACATCTGGGGGGGATTTGTGGGGTCAGCAGGGGGGTTATGGGGTCAGGAGCGGGTTTGTGGGGTCAGCAGTTGGGTTATGGGGTCAGCAGGGGGGTTATGGGGTCAGGAAGGGGTTTATGGGGTCAGGGGGTGGTTATGGGGTCAGCAGTGTTGAGGCAGTGCCCACCAGCACAGAGGGACCCAGCCTGGCACTCATCGACATCTGGGGGATTTGTGGGGTCAGCAGGGGGTTATAGGGTCAGGGGTGGTTGTGGGGTCAGGAAGGGGTTTATGGGGTCAGGGGGTGGTTATGGGGTCAGTGGTGTTGAGGCAGCGCCCACAGGCACAGAGGGACCCACCCTGGCACTCATCGACATCTGGGGGATTTGTGGGGTCAGCAGGGGGTTATGGGGTCAGCAGGGGGGTTATGGGGTCAGGAAGGGGTTATGGGGTCAGCGGTGTTGAGGCAGCGCCCGCCGGAGCAGAGGGAGCCAGCCTGGCACTCATCGACATCTGGGGGCATTTGTGGGGTCAGGAGTGGGGTTATGGGGTCAGCAGGGGGTTGTGGGGTCAGCAGGGGGTTATGGGGTCAGGGGGTGGTTGTGGGGTCAGCGGTGTTGAGGCAGCGCCCACCGGCACAGAAGGACCCCTGGCACTCATCCACATCTGGGGGGATTTGTGGGGTCAGCAGGGGGTTTGTGGGGTCAGCAGGGGGTTATGGGGTTAGCAGTGGGGGTTGTGGGGTCAGGAGGGGGCTATGGGGTCAGCAGGGGTTTGTGGGGTCAGGACGGGGTTTATGGGGTCAGGAGGGGGTTATGGGGTCAGCAGGGGGGTTATGGGGTCAGGAAGGGGTTATGGGGTCAGCAGGGGGTTATGGGGTCAGGGGTGGTTGTGGGGTCAGTGGTGTTGAGGCAGCGCCTGCCAGCACAGAGGGACCCAGCCTGGCACTCATCGACATCTGGGGGATTTGTAGGGTCAGCAGGGGGTTTGTGGGGTCAGGAGGGGGTTATGGGGTCAGGAGGGGGTTATGGGGTCAGCAGGGGGGTTATGGGGTCAGGAAGGGGTTATGGGGTCAGCAGGGGGGTTATGGGGTCAGCAGGAGGGTTATGGGGTCAGCAGGGTGGTTGTGGGGTCAGGGGGTGGTTATGGGGTCAGTGGTGTTGAGGCAGCGCCCACAGGCACAGAGGGACCCACCCTGGCACTCCATCGACATCTGGGGGGATTTGTGGGGTCAGCAGGGGAGTTTGTGGGGTCAGGAGGGGTTATGGGGTCAGGGGGTGGTTGTGGGGTCAGCAGGGGGTTATGGGGTCAGTGGTGTTGAGGCAGCGCCCACCGGCACAGAGGGACCCACCCTGGCACTCATCGACATCTGGGGGGGATTTGTGGGGTCAGCAGGGGGGTTATGGGGTCAGCAGGGGTTTGTGGGGTCAGCAGGGGGTTGTGGGGTCAGGAAGGGGTTTGTAGGGTCAGCAGGGGTTTGTGGGGTCAGCAGGGGGGTTATGGGGTCAGCAGGGGGGTTATGGGGTCAGAGTTTTTTTGGGGGGGGGTTGGGGTGTTTTTGGGGTCCCACCGAGGCAGGAGGTGCCATCAGCCGAGGTCTGGTATCCCGGGGTGCAGGGATATGGGATTGGGATGGGGATGGGATTGGGATGGGGATGGGATGGTCCCAGTGGTTTTTGGGTGTTTTTTGGGGTGTTTTTGGGGTGTTTTTGGGGTGTTTTTGGGGTCCCACCGAGGCAGGAGGTGCCATCAGCCGAGGTCTGGTATCCCGGGGTGCAGGGATATGGGATGGGGATGGGGATGGGATATGGGATTGGGATGGGATATGGGGTATGGGATATGGGATATGGGACTGGGATGGGGATGGGATGGTCCCAGTGGTTTTTGGGGGGTTTTTGGGGTGTTTTTGGGGTCCCACCGAGGCAGGAGGTGCCATCAGCCGAGGTCTGGTATCCCGGGCACAGGGATGTGGGATTGGGATGGGGATGGGATATGGGATTGGGATGGGATGGGATGGTCCCAGGGGTTTCTGGGGGTGTTTTTGGGGTCCCACCGAGGCAGGAGGTGCCATCAGCCGAGGTCTGGTATCCCGGGGTGCAGGGATATGGGATGGGGATGGGGATGGGATATGGGATGGGGATGGGGATGGGATGGTCCCAGGTGTTTTGGGGGTGGTTTTTGGGGGGTGTTTTTGGGGTGTTTTTGGGGTCCCACCGAGGCAGGAGGTGCCATCAGCCGAGGTCTGGTATCCAGGGGCACAGAGGCACCTGAAGGAGCCGTGGGTGTTGAGGCACTCGCCGTGGGGGAAGCAGAACTCGCCCTCCAGGCACTCGTTCACATCTGGGGGGGGTGAGCACAGAGAGCATCGTGAGGGGGGCACAGGGGTCCCACAGAACCCCCCCGGGGGTGGGGATGGGGATGGGATGGGCACAGGGGTTTGAGGGTTTGGGGGTTTATTTTGGGGTCTCACCGTGGCAGGAGGAGCCGTCGGGGCCGACGCGGAAGCCGCGGGCGCAGTCACAGCGGAACGAGCCGGGCGTGTTCTCACAGAGCCCGTGGGGGCACAGGGTGCCCTCCTCGCACTCATCCACGTCTGGGGGCACAGGGGGTCAGGGGGTCAGGGGGGCTGGGGTGACCCTCCTTGGCACAGAGTGACCTCTCCCCGGCACAGCGGGTGCAGTCACAGCGGAACGAGGCCGGGCGTGTTCTCACAGAGCCCGTGGGGGGCACAGGGGTGCCCTCCTCGCACTCATCCACGTCTGGGGGGCTGAGGAGGGTTATGGGGGTCAGCAGGGGATCAGGGGGTCACAGGGGGCATGGGGTGACCCCTCCCTGGCACAGCGGGCGCAGTCACAGCGGAACGAGCCGGGCGTGTTCTCACAGAGCCCGTGGGGCACAGGGTGCCCTCTCGCACTCATCCACGTCTGGGGGGCACAGGGGGTCAGGGGGTCAGGGAGGGTTATGGGGGGCACAGGGGGCTGGGGGTGACCCTCCCAGCACAGCGGGCGCAGTCACAGCGGAACGAGGCCGGGCGTGTTCTCACAGCGCCCGTGGGGGCACAGGGTGCCCTCCTCGCACTCATCCACGTCTGGGGGGCACAGGGGGTCATAGGGGGCACAGGGGGCTGGGGTGACCCCATGCAGCTGAGTGACCCCCACCCGGCACAGCGGGTGCAGTCACAGCGGAACGAGCCGGGCGTGTTCTCACAGAGCCCGTGGGGGCACAGGGGTGCCCTCCTGCACTCATCCACATCTGGGGGCACAGGGGGTCAGGGGGCTGAGGTGACCCCTTGGCACAGTGGCTCCCGGCACAGCGGGTGCAGTCACACGGAACAGAGCCGGGCGTGTTCTCACAGAGCCCGTGGGGGGCACAGGGTGCCCTCCTCGCACTCATCCACGTCTGGGGGCACAGGGGCACAGGGGGTCAGGGGCTGGGGTGACCCCTCCTTGGCACAGAGTGACCCCTCCCCGGCACAGCGGGTGCAGTCACAGCGGAACGAGCCGGGCGTGTTCTCACAGAGCCCGTGGGGGGCACAGGGGTGCCCCTCGCACTCATCCACGTCTGGGGGTCACAGGGGTTATGGGGGCACAGGGGGCCAGGGAGGGGTTATGGGGGCACAGGGGGCTCTGGGGTCCTGGGGGTGTTCTGGGGGGGCACAGGGGTCCTGGGGGTCCCGGGGGGTACCTGAGCACCGTCCCTGGCGCAGGTGGAAGCCATGGGGGCAGGGCTGGCAGCGCCCGTGGAGGGCACAGGGGGGATCTGGGGGCACAGAGGCACCCCGGGGTCTGGGGGTCCCAGGGGTGTTCTGGGGTCCCATGGGGGTCTGAGGGTCCCGGGGGGTACCTGAGCACCGTCCCTGGCGCAGGTGGAAGCCGTGTGGGCAGGGCTGGCAGTGCCCGTGGAGGGCACAGGGGGTCTGGGGGCACAGGGAGGGGTCTGGGGGCACGAGGGGGTCTGAGGGGCACAGGGGGTCTGGGGGCACAGGGGGGCACCTCAGGGGTCTGGGGAGTCCCATGGGTGTTCTGGGGGTCCTGGGGGTCCCGGGGGTGTTGGGGGTCACCTGAGCATCGTCCCTGGCGCAGGTGGAAGCCGTGTGGGCTGGGCTGGCAGCGCCCGTGGGGATCTGCAGGGGGTTCTGGGGGCACAGGGGCACCCTGGGGGTCTGGGGTCCCATGGGTGTTCTGGGGGTCCCGGGGTCCCAGGGGGTACCTGAGCATCGTCCCTGGCGCAGGTGGAAGCCGTGAGAGGGCAGGGCAGGAAGTGCCGTAGAGGGCACAGGGGGTTATGGGGGGCACAGGGGGGCACGAGGGGGGTTTATGGAGGGCACAGGGGGTCTGGGGGATCTAGGGGGTTCTGAGGGGTCCCTGGGAGGTCTGAGAGTCCCGGGGGTCAGCCTGAGCATCGTCCCTGGCGGCAGGTGGAAACGTGGGGGGCAGGGCTGGCAGTGCCCATGGGAGGCACAGGGGGGTTTATGGGGGCACAGGGGGGTTCTGGGGGCTGGGGGCACCCTGGGGTCCCATGGGTGTTCTGGGGGGTCCCATGGGGGTCTGAGGGTCCCAGGGGTCACCTGAGCACCGTCCTGGCGCAGGTGGAAGCCGTGTGGGCAGGGCTGGCAGGTGCCCATGGGGGGCACGGGGGGGTTATGGGGGCACAGGGGGTCTGGGGGCACAGGGGCTGTCTGGGGGTCCCAGGGGGGTTCTGGGGTCCCAGGGGTGCACTGAGCATCGTCCCTGGCGCAGGTGGAAGCCGTGGGGGCAGGGCTGGCAGCGGAAGGAGCCGGGGGTGTTGATGCACTCCTGGCCCAGGCACATCAGGCCCTCTCTCGGCAGCGCACTCGTCGATGTCTGG